CTTGAACCAATGCAGTACAGTTGAATTTACAATATAGCTTGTTTTACAGAACTGAAATAAATAGTACACCATTTTATAAATTCAGTTGTTGGGATTTACAGTTAAATGCTGTATGCCTAACTATGATAACATGAAGAAGTTGAGAATCAAACATGTTTAGAACTGAGACATATAGGCCAGTAGAAAAGTAGACATGGTCAAAAATATATATTTTTTACACTAGATTGAAAGGTCTAATTATTAAGGTTATAATGCTATTTGATCAGGTATTCAATGTTTTAAGTTTTAGTTTCTATAAATGTGGTAAATAAACAGCACAGAGGAAACATAGGGGGTGAAATGATGAGTGAAGAAGAATAGGAGGTTCTCCCCCCTAATAAAAACAAAAACACTTTTTTGCCGTAAATTTAATTTCTCCCGCAGACATTAACGTCTTGTAAGAATTTCAAACAACAGTTTTCAATCAGTTTAATTTGAAACATTACATGAAATACAAGCTTCTAGCAGGTCAGTAGATGTTGGTGGTCAGCCAGAGGTGCTGGGTTCAAATCCCCATCAGGGAATAAGTGGTCACGAAAATGGATGGATGGACCACCTTTTACTAAAATAAGCAGAAAAATTCAGAAAAATGACTGTCTTTTGAGGCTTTTATAATTTAATAATGCCTTTTGCCTTGGTTTCATTACAATTGAATGGGATTAGAGGGATTATCAATGGGATTAGATGGAAAATAAGCAACCTCAGCATGTACATTGTGCAGGAAAAAATAGCTTTAATAAAGACATAGTCATGCTAATTTGGCTGAAAAGGGATGATGAATTTGCCCGATAAGTATATAATTTTTGTAATGTTATTTTGAAAGGGTTACAGTTTTACATTGTAAAATGTACAGGTTGTTTCGTAATGTGTTTTACACTCTGCTGTTTTTTTTTTTACAATACTATTCTGGCAACCACAGCTGCCAGTTGTTTTCTGTAAAAACAACCCTTTTTTTCTTACAGTGTGCTTTAGCTGGTGAATTTACACAGTTCATATTTCTTAAACTTTGCTAAAAGACCAAGTAAAAAAACTCAGACTACATAAACACTGTCTTTCCTTTCTCTTTTTTGCGGTTAATCTAGATTTTGCCTTCATATTTATCTTTTCCCAGCTCAGTTTTTGGATTTCCAGTTCAGTTGGTGGGGATGCTAAAATATTATTCACAGTGTAGATTGTTTGTGGCATAATGATCATTCTGATGGTAAAAGTATCTCTGTCGAAGGAAATCCCAGAATAAATATGAAAAAAAGCATAAAACAAACGGTTAGAAATAGCTGTGAACATTTGGTTGAATCGCACAACGTTTCATAAAGTTTAGTGGACCAAACAGGATTTAGGAAGTCTGACAGCATTGGAAGGAAACCAGGACAAAATATAAAATCTGCCCATCAATTAAATTAAACTTAATATTAGAGTAAATATCCTCCATATTTGACTCATGCAAAAAATTCATAAAAGGGATCCAAGTCTGGAGGAAGCTGCTTTTTATTGGCATATTTAAATATTAACATCCTTCCTTTCAACTTTCTCTTGCATTATTTTTTAATATTTTTAATATTTAGACCTCAAGTTAATAAAGGCGGGTTTCCAGGACCCCACTTTTTTCTCATTTGGCCTCAAACTGATCTGAATAAATCACAAATCAATAATGCAGAAGATTAAACAGGAGGTTCTTTGCTCATCTAAAAGAACCACCGGCTCATTATGGGATGCATATGTCAGGAATAAAAGAGCCTTTTCAGGTTTATCCTCAAAGTCCATCAGGCTGAACACTAAAAGAAGTGCGTCTACGTTCTGTTTTTATTGACTTTTAAAACTAGGCCCGGGTTCTTTGGAGCTGGGCTCCGTGTAAACATGGTCAGAAGCATCACAGAGGCAGGTATCTTCTTAGGAAAAAAGAGCCTTAGCACGCATCAATGATCAGGGGGTAATTGGGCGAATCCTCCCGGTCAGCCCCAGACTGCTGACCTCAGAAGACTAATTAACCGTTAAACCTCACAAAGGTCAAGGTGTCTTGACCAGGGATGAAGAGAGTAGCCACCATATGGCTGACGATGCCCACAAGGAGGACGTCTTCACTGCTCTTTTAATCTTTTGAGCTAATTGTGCCCCCCCCCCCCCCCCCTCTTCTGCGGACGGCACCCCGGCAGACAAAACGCGGTCAGAGTCTAATCTACTTAACTGCTTTCCACTTTGTTTTTTTTTAGCCCCAATTCTGAGCGGGCCTTGTTGTCGGGTGCCCGAAACCCGCTGACATCGACAGAAATTTTGTTCTCCAAGCAAATTTGGAGTTTAACGCAAAGAGGCAGATGTGTGGATGGATTATGGTGTGGCGGCCATTTTTCAGAGGCCCGTTTAAAACAGAGGCCTCGGAGCTTTGTGATGATTTCTCTAAAACCAGCCTGCCAGTTTTTGTTTTATTTTAATTTCAGCTCATAAAGGCTGATGTTTCTTTAAAGTGTGTTTAATATCTTGCCTTTATACCATCGGTGGCTCCATCGATTTGTAGTCAAATGTCACTTTTCCATTAACGTGTGTTGCACAGACAAAGAGAGTCGTGATGTTTCTCTTAATTTGTCTCATTTGTCTTATTACAAATGAGTCTTTAGAGCCTGAAGCATCCTGAAGTGTTAAGAAACGCGCCGGAGTTTGCTGATGGTAATAAAAAAAAGCCTTTTTTTTTACAGTTTCATCAGGACAAAGGAGGTCCCTGAGTGGCTACATCAGCCTCCTAACAGTGCGTGTAGTTTATATTTCCTAGCACTCTTATAGCTCCTTTCTTGGATTTGTATATGTTAACTGGCATCCAAACCCTGAGCATTTTAAAGTATATTTTCAGTGATGAATTAGTGTTAAGATGAGACTTTCTATGTCTCGGGGTCAGGGGATATTGTTTCCCATCTCTACCTTCCCTGCAAATTCTGTATAGTTTATTGATAATTGTTCTTTTTGGTGGCTCAGATTGTTGTTTCTGATTGAAGCAAAGGGAAACTGGCAAATGTGGAGCAGTGAACGGGGACTCCTGCAGAACAAATGTCAATCTAATACCTAACCGAGCTGCAGAGAAGCCGATTGGACGAACTCTCTGTGGAGACATTTGACTCATTTGCTGTTGGAATGGAAGGACTTTCTGCCTATGGTGCCACGTTTAAATGAGAAAATGTTTCCACGATTGGCAGCATTGTGAGCTGGATCCCCACCCCACCCCAAAGTGAGAAGGTTACTGGTTTAAATCCCGTTTTGGGGCTTTTATGTGTAGTTTTTCTGTCTCATTCCTCTCCATGTGGGCCTCTAATGGACCAGTGACCTGTTAAAGGTGGACCGCCTCTCAACCAATGACGGCTGGGATAGGCTCCAGTTGCCCCGCCCCCCTCCCCCACCAGGAATAAGTGGGCATGGACAATGGCTGGACGGATGAAGTTGCTGTAAGATAAGCTGCCCTCGATAGCTATATTTGTTAATGATGCACTTTAACTAACATTCTGATTAAATTCAAAGTACTTTATCAATCCAAAAAGGGGAAATTCCTTTGATGCAGCAGCAACACGATAAATAAACTTAATAAACAACAACAATTATAATAATAATAAAAATACTTAAAGTGATAGTTAATGCATTTTTTCTTACCAAGACAAGATTGAACAGAAACTTTTAAATAGTCCTCAAGTTGATTAAATGCAACAAAAGTCATGAAATATTTAGCAAATTAATTATTTTGGCCTCCTTAACCACAAGTATATCAAGTCAGTATGAAAGTTTTACACTTTTTTATCTTAAAGTTGCTGTTTTTGTTTCTTTCAAAATAATAAGTGACAATCTAGGAAAAAATATCACTCTGTATAGAATGAATAGCTTATAATTGAGTCAAAATGATGCGTACAGTATGTGATGTTTGCCCCAGAATGGCATAAAGCAACAGTTCATCCTTTTTGCACAGTTGCTGGCACAAACACAGACCACAAACAGAAAAACAAACAGTTGCAGATGTCTGCCCTCTTAAATCACTCGTCTGTGTCGAGAAACAAACGATGAAAAGCCGAACGAGTTTCGGGCCGTTGGCATCTGCTTTGCCTTTTACAGTTGACTTTCCGGCCTTTACGGGCTCACACATGAACATTTAAGTCCTTTTTTGGGGTCATAGCTATATAAATCTCATACAGAGCGTTGGTTTTAGACCCAAACTTCAACATGAATCCAGATCTTTAGATCCAATAGCCTTATTCTTCCATGCAGCTAAAAGCTGCTAATGTAAATGACTTGTTCACGATCATTCCAACTTAAATAATTAATGGAAGACTCTAATAAGAGGGCTAAATTGGAGTCGATGGAATCATCAGCCTTTCAAAACTCCTATTATTCCCCGTCTGACCTTTCCCTTGGGCGGGGGGGGGGGGGGGGGGGGGGGGGGGGGTGGAAAGAGGATCCAGAGTTTGTCAGAAAAAAGAGGGAAATTGGAGTTAATAGGCGGCTTCTCGGCAAACACCGGGAGTTATTATAAATGGGAGGCAATCACACAGATCAAATACACAGCGGGACAAAATGGAGCTGGAATCCAAGTGGAAAAAAAGAGCGGGGGTCAGTCGGATGGGGGGGGGACAAATTGGAGAGGCTGGTAAATATAATGATGTGTGCCTCTTGTAATCGTCCCTTCAAATGCAGATCCCCAAAAGAAGTGCTGAGTGATGGGGACAGTGGAGACGGGGCTGGATGGGAACCGGTTTAAAGTTACGGCCCTTCTGCTGGAGGGGGGGGTGCAGCGGGGGTGGAGGGGGGGGGCAGAAGCCTCAGGAGTGGCTGTTTTCCACCTTTATTCTGTTCCCACCCGTCCGGGCAATGTGACGGATTGATCCAGTAGATGAACAGTAAAGATTAAGAGGATGACAAATAAGCGCGCTGCTTACACAGCGCTCGGGGCTAATCCCCCCCCCCCCCCCCCCCCCCCCCCGGGCTCCCTTTTGAGGACCTGCTGCCGAGGAGGACCCACAGACAGCCCACAGACTCTGACCGCCACGGGCAGGACGCACAGCCAGTGTCAGCTCAGGCTCCCGGCAGGACCCCCGGCCCGGGCCCCCATCTGTCCCCGGGACCCCCAAAACAACCTCCAGGAGCTGGTCGTGGACATTTAAAAAAAAAAAAAAATTTTTACTTCACAGAACAGGACAAACTCATTCAAGCTCTGCGTTTTTTTTCTTTCGTGGCTCTGCGTTTTTCACGTTTTTTTTCCGTGAAGCACTTCCTCATCCGGGGAAAAGAGATGATGGAGGACCACCTGTCCAAGATCCCCATGATGGCCTCGTCCTCCTCCCCGGCGGAGTCGTCGGGCAGCGGGGGCACGGAGGACAGCAGAGGAGGTGAGAGCCCGCAGCCACAGGTGTCCACCAGGTCGGAAATATGGGAGGCAGCGTTTGGGGGGAAACAAGGCAAAACGATCCCGTATTGAGCTGGAAAATTGGGAAAATCAGCAAATAATGAACGCAAAAGGGAATTAAAGCAGAAATGCTGGGATGGTGTCTAAAGTTGGGAGGCATTCTGAACATTTAGGGGGGGAAAACAAAGCCAAACGCTTACATATTGCGCTGGAAAGTTGGGAAAATCAGCAAATAATCGACGAATAAAGGGAATTAAAGCAGAAAAGCCGGGTTGGTTCCATAGTTGGGAGGCACTCTGAATGTTTAAGGGGGGAAAACAAGGCAAAACGATCCCATATAAAACATTAAAATTGGGAAAATCAGCACATAATCGACAAAAAAAGGGAATTAAAGCAGAAAAGTCCAGTTGGTTCTACAGTTGGTAGGCACTGTGAGCGTTTAGGGGGGGAAAACAAAGCAAAACGATCCCCTATCGAGCAGGAAAATTGGGAAAATCAGCAAATCATCGACGCAAAAAGTGAATTAAAGCAGAAAAGCCGGGTTGGTGTCTAAAGTTGGGAGGCATTCTGAGCATTTAGGGGGTGGAGACTAGGCCAAACAATTGCATATCAAGGCGGGAAATTGGGAAAATCAGCAAATAATTAATGCAAAAAGTGGAATTAAAGCAGAAAAGCCGGGTTGGTTCTATAGTTGGGATGCACTCTGAATGTTTAGGAGGGAAAAACAAGGCAAAGCGATCCAATATCGCGCCGGAAAACCCGGAAAATCAGCTAAATAATCGATGCAAAAAGTGATTTAAAGCAGAAAATCTGGGTTGCTGTCTGAAGTTGGGGGGCATTCTGAGCATTTAGGGGGTGGATACGAGGCAAAACGATTCCATATCGCGCCGGAAAACCAGGAAAATCATCTAAATAATCGATGCTAAAAGTGAATTAAAGCAGAAAAGCCGTGTTGGTTCTATAGTTGGGATGCGCTCTGAATGTTTAGGAGGTAAAAACAAGGCAAAACGATCCCATATCGCGCCGGAAAACCAGGAAAACCAGCAAAATAATCGATGCAAAAAGTGAATTAAAGCAGAAAAGTTGGTTCTATAGCTGGGTTAGTTGGATCCACCGAACGCCTTTGAGGCCGAGCCCGTTTGTCCCGACGTGTGACCGGACGCCAGAGGCCAGGCGGCCCTGACTGACCGTTCCCGTTTGACCCCGCAGCCAAGAGCCCGGCCCCCGGGAAGGCCCTGAGCCCGGCGCTGGTCTGCAGAGTGTGCGGGGACACCAGCAGCGGGAAGCACTACGGCATCTACGCCTGCAACGGCTGCAGCGGCTTCTTCAAGCGCAGCGTCCGCCGGAGGCTCATCTACAGGCAAGAGGGGGGGGGGGGGGGGTTACGTCCTGCTTTGGTCATCTGAACACGCCAGACTCAAGAGTTCATGCAAAAAAAACACAATTTCTCACATTTCTGTGCCATTTAAAGCGTGTGAAATTGGAGAAAAATGACTAAATTACTCTCACTATTAGAAAAGGATGAGGGGTTTTTGTTTTTATTTGCAACAAAGGTCTTCAGAGTACGTTTAAAATAAATTAGAACAGCAAAAAAAACACAATTTGTGCCATTTAAAGCTCTTGAAATTCGAAAAGTACATTTTAAATAAATTACAACAGCTGAAAAGTCTAATTTAACTAAAATAATCTAATGCTGTCAAACTGTTTTTAAAGTAAAAAATGCTTGACTTTCTCTTTCTTCTGACCATAAAACAAATATTTGCAATAACATAATTAATAAGAAATTCATAATCGGAGCTCTAAGTTGGATTTCACCAATAAAAATGTGGATTTGTAAGCATAAATAATAACAATACATTATAATAAATCCTCAGGGATTATTAAAGTATTTCTAAGTCTGATAAATGACATTTTTACAAGAATCCTGATACAAAGAAACCATTTAAAGCATAAAACTGACAGCTTGCTTTATCTTTTTATCCATTAAATCTCACTTGGGACACACAAAAGAATGAATTTGGCTTGTAATGTTCATTTGGACTATTTTGATTTGCGAATTTATCGTGAATTAGTGTCACTATTAGACTTGTCACAAAAAAAAGGGAGGTAAAAAAGGCTCTTTTTTCCTAAGCGTGTGTGTGTGTGTTCTCTGAGAGTGTGTGTTTGGGTCAGCAGGTGCCAGGCGGGGACGGGCACCTGTCCGGTGGACAAAGCCCACCGCAACCAGTGCCAGGCGTGCCGGCTGAAGAAGTGCCTGCAGGCGGGCATGAACAAAGACGGTGAGCCTCCCCACGACCGGTCAGCGGCCCGGTCACACCCTCTAATGCAGTGTTTCTCAACCACTGGTCCTCGGTACACTAGAGTGCCGTTAGTGATGGTCAGGTGTGCCGTAGAAAATCATCCTATTTCACCTAATTGGTCTAAAAAAATTTTTTGATAAGGAATTAATTTTCTGCAAAAAATATTCCATTTCTGAGTGTGTGTGCTGTTCTAGTGACTGGTGACGTAATCATGTAATAATTCCTTATGACTAGATTTTGTATTTAATTTTGTATATTGAAGTGGACATGTTAAGTGCAATTTGAAAGAAGAAATATGAAAATATGATAAAAATACATTTTTGTGTTTATTTGATTCCTTTTCAAGACACTTAAGATAAGATAAGAATAAAATAAGAATAACTATAGTGTTACTATAGGTAGATAAGATAAGAATAAG